GTTTTCCCCTCAGCTCTTCACACAGCTTTCTGAGGAGCTTCTCTCCTCAGAAATCATGATGAGGCTACATGATGGCTCCAATTGGCCAGCCAGTGGACCAGGTGAGGACTTAGAGTAGTCCCTCATGTTACCCAGAAGGAAGTAACAAGGCCGTGACATGTACAAAACTGCTCCCTTGAAATCTCATCCTCTATATTCTCTAGCCTGTAACAATTAAACTATTACTGATTTTCATCTACTGATTTTTTCAGACTGTGTTTTTCTCGAGCTGTAAGGAAAAAACCAAACACCTCAGGGGATGGAAAGGTATGCTCTTGTCTCTTCCTACAGAGGGGAAGTGCTGAAAAATGTAAAGATGCAGGTTACAGGTTGCCACTGGCTGAGCAATGCTGAACCAGTCAGCCATATATCCTTCTCAAGGATAATGAGAACTGGAAGTTTTCTAGCAGAGCAATGCAGTCTCATTGTGTGACAAGATGGTAACTACCAAAATGTTTGTGGTGCTGCTGTAATGTGAAGAACAGAGAGTGAGTAAGGATTTTTCAAGATGCTTGCAGTAAACTGAAAACTCAGGGAAGTTGAAAGGAGGCAGTATTCACTGAATTTCTTTGAAAACCCTCTTATGTGCATCACTCTGCTCCTTGCTTCTTTGTTTCATGTCCTGTGTTGATAGACTTCTGATGTGGTTTCAGTCGTGTCTAGTTTATTCCTCTTTCAAAAACTCTTTATCGGATAACACATGCAGAAATATTCTTTGCCAGGGAAGTTCACAGACTGTGTCAGACATCTACAACTCTTTCCATCCTGCTGCAAGGCACAAGAAGGCTGAGGGACAGCCCAAGTTTACCAATGAGTTTCTCTCTGTAATCTGAGAGGTAGGCATATGCTGTAGGAACTGATGTTTCTCACACTCATATGTGCAGTTTCCAGTCAGAGAAATTGTTTTCTTTCCAGGTTCTCAGTCCAATAAAATAAAGCAGATCATGCAGAGAGTGTTAAAAAGGAGATTGAACACAAGTGGTGTTTTAGATGTCTAATATTTTAAGCTCCAAGTGCAGGAGGACTGTGATGTTATTTAAAAAGATCCTTGGATGAAGAGTTGAAAATTTTGTAATTTTGACAAGTCCACAGTGTTTTAGCAGGCAAACCCCTTTCTGTTCATACACAGAAACACACTGGTTCAGCATGTAATTAACCAGAGCAAGAACTTAGAGTGAGAAACAGCAGCTCCAGGAAAAGGGGCAATTCTACAGATCTAATGACCATGAAAAGGGAGGGAGAGAGACTTGTCTAGGAGGTAAAGGCCGGATTTAACCTCATCCCAGCTCTCACCTTGCTCCATGCTGCATAAAAGTGATGGATATAAGGAGAAGCACAAATTACACGGGTCAGAGGTCATCTGCTACTGCTTTGTTCTAAGTCTCCCTGGAATATAGTTTTTCACTACCATCTGCCATTTGCTGGATTTTACATCTGTCTTTCCCTAAAATTAACTGTCTCAAAGCCCTCTGACATAAAGATTAAAGAAAATTGTGCACTGGAGTCTTTACAAGCGACAAACTTGAAAATCTTTCTCCCTCATAAAAAGGCACATCTTTTTCTTTCCATGTTTTTCTCCTGGGTTGCTTCTCCTGAAATAAGAAGGAAGACTTTGTCGTAAACTATATATATCAGTAAATGTTAAATTTTTCATCTAAATGTAAAGTACAGGTTAACCTATAATCATTTTCATTTCAGCTTAGTGCGATAGTTTTTTTCTCCTTGGCTTTACATGGGGAATCTGGGCTTGACCCTGATTCTTGACACAGAAATTTTCTTTGCCACTCTAAATGAGACTATTGTCTTCTAGACTTTTAGATTTCTTTGTAATGCCCCCAACCTTTGCAGAGGCAGCAGGAAAGACATTTGCAAGACAGTCATCCTTCAGGGTAGATACAGACCCCAGACTCCTCTGAGCCTTAGTGTTACAGTCTTAAAGTCTTTACTCAGCAGTACAATGAACACAAATGATTTCTCTCTTGGACAAGGGACCAATATGCTGTTTTTCAGGATGTAGCAACGATTTTTATCAAGCATTCTTTTTCAAAAATATGATATATCTTTATGTTCGTGTCTGTGATAAATGCACACTTATGATATATGACTCTATATACACAATTACCTATAGGGGGAAATGTAAATGTTTATAATAGCAACTCTGAAAAGTGAGGTGGACTGAGTGCAGGTTTTGATCTTCTGAACTTTTAACCTCCATAACTTAAAGGGAAAGTGCCAAAGACAACTGTTGACTGTACAGAAGGCAATCTGTTTGATTAAAAATCCAGCACAGCTCCTTGACCTATTGATCACACTGTTGTGCCTGAAAAGTAAATTATTTAATCAACTCTACTCTCTTTTATACGTATAACAACATTTATAAAAGGACTAAATTAATAGATTGTTCCTTACAATATAAATAACCCAAATAAATACAAATAAATTTACTTGGGGCGTGAGCATGCATGCAGCAGCTTGAGAGTTAGCATAAATCTGGAACTTTCACACACAGTAAGAGCACAGGCTGAAGGTGGGCTTAAGCACACCAGGAGAGTGTGAGCCCAGAGTTTTCTTACCTGGAGGGAGTATTGTAATCTATGTAACCACACGCTACTGCTTAAAGAAGTGACTTGAGACTAAATCAACAACAGTTTTCAGATACCTAAGATCTGCTAAAATAAAATAGTACTTAACTTTGGCCTTATCAGAACCTCTTATTTCATCTGAAAGTAGTGCTAGGGTTGATAGTAAAATCTTACCTTAATGTAAACTTAATGTATCAAATCCCCACAGAGCCACAGTGTTATGTATGTCTTGGTTTGTACACAAGGTTACTAGTACGTTAGTTTTATAAGATCTCCATAGCCATCTGCAGTAGATATGGGGCATATAGAGGTGACAAATATATCATCTTTAAGGCAACAGGCCTTCCTGATACTGATAGTCATGCTCCCCTTTAACTTTTTAGAGATAGGGTTTTGTATTGGAAGGTACTCTGACATGACTTACCTGGTGATCTCTGGTGTTCTTGGCTCTCTCTGTTCCAGCAGATTCATTTTGGCCTCTGCAGGCAGCATCAGATGCTCTGTTCCACAACCAGTAACAAATGCACAGTAAGGTTATAGTTATATATACACGCATGCATACATATATGTACGTATGTGCACATGTGTATGTGTATGTGCATGTGTTTGTGTATGTGTATGTGTGTTGTATTTACCTGAATTTTTTGTTAGATCTTCTCCTACTTTCCTTTTGCATTGCTTGTCTTCTAAAGCACTAGCCTGGAAACTTTTAGACATATTCTTTTCTTTAATTACATGAGTAGTTCTTCAAGAACTGCTTTTCCCAAGATGGGAATGCCTGTGTACATGTGAAGAGGATTAAAGTGCAGATTTATTAAAAACTTGGACCATTTTCCAGGTTGTGTTTGTGAAATAACTGAACAGAAAAGATTACCAAGCTGGCAGGAGTCCCAGCCCTCCTTACAAGCAGGACTACAACTGTAAACATTTAAAAGACCACATCTGACAGTAAATCCTCCATCACACTGATAATGCAACAGACATCCTGTAGAGACTGGGATAAATCTGATGCTGCAGTTAAATGCTTCGTGGCATCACTGTAGCTAACAATTCTAAAAGGTGACCAGGTTTGGATGTGTAATTTTGCTGAGATAGCTGATAGGCTGCTTTCCTTTTGAGTAAACCTATATTGTTACATTCCCAAAGCAACCTTGGGATCTGGTGGATAGAACAGGAAATTATATTATCGTCCTCAGGGAATTCTTTAGTGCTATAAATGATTGACTGACTTTTTTAATCAGGACAATAAAAAGGCAATCGTCAGCTGAGTTTCAAAACATATTTCTGATTTGACCACCTTGTTTCATTCACCTCATTCTGATTTTCTGATTTCATAGAAAGATATGAAATAATTGTTTTTCAAAATAAAAGACATTTCAGTGAAAATTAGAGGGGTTTTTATTTAAAATTCACTGCAACAGAGAGGTCTGAACAATGATGGAGGTGGGCAACATAAAAAGCAAGCTTGGGCTTTGTGTGATTTGAGGAATTTGAAGGTTTGGGGTTTTTTTGTTGTTTGGTTTTTTTAATTTAGAAATATTAATCTTCACCAAAAAATGCTCAGGACCCTCTGCTCCATTTTTTCCGGAATAATTTAAGCATTTATAAACTTGCTTTTAAAGGTAGGCCACTGAGACACATAAGCACAGGAGACTTACACTTTGCAAGTTAATGAATGTACTTGTCTTTCCCAGGCACCAATGAAGAAAGCTCACAGTTCTTTCAGGTGGTGCCTTTAGAGCATTTAACACGTTTGGTATTTTTTAGTACCACATATGATACATAAAGGATCCAAGGGTGTAGCACAGTTTGCAGGGCTGGCAATTAGCACTTTGCCCCTTTGGGTTTTCTGTACAATATACTGCTTTATGAAAGAAAGTATGCCATGCACGCTGGCACTTCTGAATTTCTGTCACTGAGAGTGGGAAAAGAAGAGAACCACAACTGTGAGCCATCACGGTTTGTATAGACAAAGGCATTCTTGTTGCAAATGAATACTAAGAGAGGAGCAGTTCACAGTCCTGCCACAGATTACAGTGTTTCTTCCAGAGCTTTTCCAGTGTCAGGCATGTTTTTATTTCCTTCCCTCAGCTGAAACAGCAGTTCCATCCAAAGGCAAGGGCTAAAATAGGAGAGACTGGTTTCTGCTGGCAAACAACTCCCTGCCTGACCCCATAAACACCATGCTTGTATAACCACTTGTGTTATACACACAAAAAATGCAGTCATCAGTGAACCTCAGTGCTGGAGACAGTGACCATCAGTTTCTATACTTACAGTGCTGTCCTGGGTGTGTGCCCTGCCTTCTTGCTCCACTTTTATTCTCAGCTTTCCCCTGGGTCCCTGACGGTATCAGCCTTACTCCCTCCCCTTGTGATTTTCTTGGCAGCTCTAGACACTGCAGCCGCCGCTCACCTTTTGGCTCTCTGTGCCAAAGCTTTCACATCCTCCCTTGCTTCTTTGAGACCATCAGCATCTGTGGCTCTTGGTCATTGGCAGGAATGATACCTCAGCCTTGAGGCACTGCTGGTCTCCCACACATCTTGTTGCCTCCCCTTTGGCCCCTACAACTTGTGGAAAAGGAAGGAAACGGGATTAGGATCTGCTGGTGGGGCAGGGAGAGCTGGTGCTGTTCCCTAGCCTCCAGGAGGACTCCTGAGTGCAGCGTTGCCACAGCGACGGCTTCCACTTATCCCTAGATAAGACGGGAAGGAGCATCAGCTGCAGCCCCAGTCTAGAAAGATCCTGCAGTGAACCCCGACGGCAAACTGCACCTTCCCTACTACTTCACACCACTCAGTAAGTACTTCAGGCACACGTTTTTCCTCCCAGCTGGCTGGCTTCTTAATTTCCTTGTTTGTTTTGTTTTTTGGTTTGGTTTTGTTTTGGTTTGGTTTTGGTTTTTGAGGGTGTACGTGGATTTGTTCGTTTCTTTGTTTGTGTTTTTTTAGCAGCAGTTAGTTGCCTTATTGCCTCTGGGGATGATCAGGAAAGCACAGGATCTCCACTGGGAATCCACAGGGAATGGGCTGGGGATGGTCCCGTGTGAGGAAGGTTGAGGTATGACCTATCTGAGTCTGGGATTCGTGGATAGGGCAATGGGGCAATTTAGTTTTTAGAGAAAACTAAAGCACTAACTTTAACTGCTGGGACAGTTATAAAAATTTAACATTCACAACCAGATTTGTAAGTCAGCAATCTGGAAACTGATATAAGGACTTCTTTTCTCACTACTAAGTCTGGCATGTGCAATGGGTTAATTTGTACCTCAAGGAAAAAATTTGGGAAGAGTGTATTTTTTATCTCCAAAGACATGGACTTTGTAACCAGTACTTGTGCAAATGTATCTCGCATTTTTTCAATCAAACAAATAAATATTTTTATTTATTTTACAAGTTTATTTTACAAAGTAATAGCAGGAATAAGTCCACCGCCCAGTCACAATTGTTTGAAATATTTTTTAAATACTGCCCACACTGTCTGTGAGAAGACACTGATCCCAGACAATTCTGTGGTACTTCTGCATCCTTGCTATTATTAGTAGCAAAAGTTTTGGGTAGAGGGAGGCACTCAGATCAGGCTTTCAAATATCTAAATATTTGCTAAGAAGATTTAAATATGCTTTATAAAAGTAAATATCAGAGTAATCTGACAATATGCCTGTGCAGTGCAGCCTAGTGCCAAAATAACTGAAGAAGAAACTCTGCATTAGCATGAAGCTGTCTTCTGTACTCTGGAAGGCATCACTCCAATAGAATAATGTTAAACATATAGTAAAACTTGTAATTAAAAATTTGGAGTGCAGAGCAGCAACACTGAGAATTTCTACTTGTAGAATGTCTGTTTTCTACTCTGACCACTGTTATCTTGCTTTATTTACATGATTTGCCAGGAAGCAGTTGTGATGGGGCTGGGATAGGATGGGGTAGGGGTGAAGGTGCATATTTTCTCATAAAGGTACTAAGGCTGCCTGCTGAGAGCAGATGGAAGAAGCCAAATGCAGCCAGATGGTGTTCCATTCCCCTTGACTCCTGACCTGTTTCACATGGCTTCTGTGTAGGGCAGATGTGTGCAAGATGGCTTCAACCAGTATCTTATTCCTTCTTTCTGCATTTGTAAATGACTTCATGCAAATAAGAGTCCTTCTCACACTATAGAGCCCTCCACAGGGGGCATGCTACAGAAGGAATGACAGGTCTCTCTCTTCACCTCCCACATAGGTCTAAGGATGCAGGGAAAAAGGAGCAGATAAGGATGCTTGGAGTTCGCCTGTCCCTGCTTGCTTATGTGGTCATTGCAATCAGACAGAAAGGGGCAAGTCAATTTAAAATAGATTAATAATCAAACCCCACCAGGAAATTTTAAGTGCATGCTTGGGGGCAGAAGAGGCACCAGTCTTAAAGAGCAAACCCTCACACCAGAGCAGCTCTTTGGGCAGGGCAGCAAAATGCTGCTTTTTGTCCAGACCGGACTGTTACTAATGAAGTCCAGCCTTTGCCTCGTGTCTGCATTTGGCAGCAGCCTGTGAGATACTCCCTATTTCCTTCCATTTCCAACTGTTGAGTACACCAGCAGCAGCAAGGCCAGGCTCTGACTGTGAGGGAAAACAAGTGTGCACACTGTACCACTCCAGGACCTTGGTTGCCTCTGTTTCTGCCTCTGCTTCTCTCTGTGTTCTTAGGAATTGCTCTGGCTTCAGAAGATAAGTACATAGGGCCTATCAGGCTTCTGTGACAACATTATCACTGACTATCAAAATGAACTTATTAAATTCAGATTGACTGCTCTCACCCAAAAAGGATGCTCTCAAAAGTACTTTTATTTATCTAACATCCTTGTCAACATGACAGTGGTTTTTTAATAATTCTGCACACCCTGGAAATTAGCACGTTTTTCTTCAGGAATTTGTCAATTGTAGAAACAAAACACTCTCCTGAACAAGAAAAAAAAAATCCACACACAATACTACATGCACCACATGGTCTACTGAAATCTTCAGAGGCAGAGGTTGTGGATACCTTATAAAGGGCCAATTCAGAAATTCTAAGTATTCAATATACAAAGAAATCACAAGCCTTAATGTACAATGCTGAGGAGTATTGACATTAATACCCACATAACTGTAACTGTTTACCCTGTAAACTTTTATAAGAATTGAGTATCAGAACTTCATTTTTCTGTCTTATAGGTAAGAAAGATCACCAGATCACCTATGGATGACTCATTTGAGAACTGTATTGTCCCTTCAGATTACACACAACTATCCATAGTACCTAATACCCATGCAGTTGCATAGCCCCTACAACCTTTCAAACCTTCAGAGAAGACAAGAAATGGAGATTTTCCACCAAGCCACTTCCATGCCTAATTCAAGATCAAATGAAAAATAAGTCCAGCCCTTTCATTTTGCTCTCAAAGCTTTAGTTTTCTATCTTGCAGGGTTTTTTTCTCATGAGATTTCATTTTAAGTTTAAATGTCACATTATTGGACTGCCTTGAAAGATTTACGTCATCTTATAAATATATGAGAGTAGCTGTACTGAGTATTCCCTAAACTCTAAGCTGATTACTTGTGACACACATCTACATTAAACCAACTGTGTATTAAAATAGTAAACCAAAACAGGTTCCTGCATCTGTCTCTAGCAAAGTATTTAAAAAAATAATTTATAATTTTTAAAATTATATATTATTATATATAATATAATCATATTATATGTATTATATACATTATATACTAATACTATATATTATATTATAAATATTTTAAAAAATATTTATAAAGCTTAGAACTTTGCATTAGTGAATTTTGTTACGGAAACCAAAAATTTAAGCAAAGAAAGTAATCATATTACTCGCAAGAATTTATGTTCTTGGTGTTTTAGGACTATATTAGTGAGTGATAATATACCTTTATTTGGGCACTTTAATCAAGCTGGGACAGCAACTGATAATTTTAGAAAAAAATTTAGTATGTGCTTTAACCTTTCTAAAAATCCAGAGCTGATATCCAGAAAGCAAAAAGTTCAGATATACCATATCTTACAAGGGTGTATGCCCAAAGGAGTCATGTTGTTATATGACAGTGATTCAGCATGAGATTTCATTCACATGAGGCTGACGCAGCTTTTAGTAATACTTGCACTTTTCAGTCTGTCTTATCATTCATTGCCCTTCTCTGTCTGTAGGTAGAGCCAATCCAGTCTCATGCCAGAAGCTTCAACAAGGAGCGACACAAAACTATGTAGGCAAAGCTTGAACTTGCTTAAACTTTTAGGAGATCATTTCAGCTGTCTCTCTCTATCAGCTAACTCTTTTCCTAGCAATAAGAGACTTGAGGTGAGACTTAGGCACATATCTCTGCAGAGGGTGGTACAGCCCAGCTGCACCATACCAAAGTCCCTGGCTAAATGACAACTGAATCCTAAATCGTATGGAAAAATCTATAGCATCTCAGGAAGTATCTTCTATTGCATGTGAATTAGCCTCCAATGTAACCATTACAGGTGCACAAAGGATAAATGTGGATCATTATGTCAAGAGACATAACAGAGTGTAAGAAAAAAAATGCTTTACTTCATCACATGAATAGCAAGCATGTGCTACCAAGGTGACTGATGGCATCAGAGTGTGCAAACTGTGCTAACATAAAGGCTGCTAGGAAAAGCCTTGCACTTAATGCATGAAAATCTGAGAACATGCTTCAATTTGTAAAGCCATATTAATGGATTCATACAGTTCCTATAGCAGGCTACCTTCCCACAGAAAATGTTACTGGGGAATCTGTTTCCTTAGTGGCAGGAACTGATTTTACTGGGATGGGAAAGCACCATTACAATGGTCACATACAGCAACCTTCCTTTGGAGGAGAGCTCTGTGTGCAATCCATGGTGACAGGATGTAACACCACTCACAGGTTCACATGTCATAGACAATGTATATACACCCAAGATACCAAAATCCATGATATATTTTGGTAATTTTTATCTTTTTATTCTTTTGTCACACGGACTGTCGCAAAGTGCACTGCTTTTCTAAGCAAGGCAATGCTGGCTTCAGGGCACACTTAAAAAAGAAAGAAAGTGGAGTGTCAGAAGTTAGCCTTCAAACCAGAATTTTAAAGCACTGAAGATACCAAGGGCTTGGCATTTGTGACAATGAAAATATGAACACAGTTCTACGGGATGTATTTTAGAATAATATTTTCCAAACTATCATATTAAGAAAAAATAATTAATCAATCCTATATTAAGTCTCTTTACAAAACTTAATTTTTATCGGGTGAAATAATTCAATGAAACAACTTATTGAAATCTAACCAAATTTAACTGTATTTTTAAGCCATTTCCAGTAAATATAATTTACTACCAATTTTACGTTTAAACATTGCTATCTATCCCCAGCCCTTTTTGCCTCAAGACATGTTAAAAACAAAAATGTCCATAGTGTCTGAAATAACATCCCTGATTTTACTGAAAACATTGTAAACAGAGTATTCTTCAGAACACTTTAACTAGTCATAATATTTAGTCAGCGTGCCCTAATCAAATCCAATAAAGTCAAATGGCATTGAAGAATAAAACCCGCTCAAATCACAAAATGTAGTGTAAGCCTTCATATGGCCAGATAATAAGTTTTGAATTAAATAAAATTATGTCTGCTTCATTTTGAAGCACGGCTATAGCTTACTTATATGGAGAAAAAACAGAGAAACCATGTTAAGGTGCCTTCAAAGATTTCTTTCTGTAGAGCCTTCCCAAGTGAAAGATTTTCTTTCAGTGAAGGCAAATAAGCCTTCAGGCAGAATGACACTTTGGTACAGATATGAGGCTGGACTGGGACATTTCTATAGTGAACATTTGGAGGTGAAATCCTTCATCTAGGCCTGATTCAGTAAGGCTTTAATAATTTGTAGAATATTACAAATTCTTGTAAATTTTAAATAGTGAAACATAAGGGAATTAATCCTATATGTACAGTATCAGTCAACATCAACCTTTGATGTTGACATGAATCAAATTTGATGCTGCCAGGCAGTTGTGGCAGGATGTCTACCCCACCTCCTCTCTACCACAGAGAGTTGGTCCATAAAGAGATAAACTAGGGGCTGAAAGGCCCAGCAAGAGGTCACCCCTGGCACCAAAAGGGCTCAAACCTTAGCTAAGAATCAACATCTTAGTCTGGACAGCAGATGTGGGAAGAGATAAAGGAAATATTCTTGACTGAGAGACACCGTTTTACAAACTATAAAAGATACATGAGTTATTACAGAGGTAGGAGCCTCTACACACCCTAAAAGTCTGGGAGACTTCTCCCCAGAGTTTGGACAAAAATCCGAGGTTACTTCCCTGGGGATTGAGGGAAAGGATCTCAATGTGTGCCTCACCAACAACTGGATGGTAAGATACATTGAATCCTAAGTTACATTATTTCTTTGCTAGCTGTAACATTAATAGGTACCTTTAACCTCGCTCTGTATATATCTATTAGTAGTCTCTTTTCTTTTTGTCTTTATTCCTGCATAGTATTAGTTTGATTTTAGTCTTAACTTTAAGTTAGTTTTCTGTCTGTTAAATAAATAATTCATTCTATAATAGACTAAATCAGCCATTATTAAAGAAATTGTGAATGAGAGTGGACTTTGGGGTGCCAGCTGCCTCAATAAAGCTAATGCTTGCTGCCAGAGGCCTGGGCAAAAGGAAAGGGTTTATCTAAACATCCATCCATAACAGCAGTGTTATTCTATTTATTTTTAAGTTACTGGCATTTAAGACATGTGTTTCCATCCAGTGAAGAATTACATCAGTCCAGCCTTTCCTACATTCTTTGCAAATATTTTTCTGACTAGATTTTGCTCAAGGGTTAATTGTTCTTTACATAGATACAAGTTTAGTCATGGAAATGAGATTAACTCCCCTACTGTTCTGTTTCTTGTCAGCAAAGAGCCATTGCAATTTACAGAGAAATAAGGTAATTTCTTTTCCTCCAGCAAGATAAAACCAAACTCACACAGTTTAGACTCCTATTTTCCCATCCTCCTTTTCACTGTTATTCTCCAGCTGCCTCTTTTCTTACCTTTCTCTTTTATTTTCCTTTCCTTCTCTACCTCTCCTTTCTCTATTTTTCCCAATTACTTCTTTCATCTACTATTCATAATGTCTCCAGTTTTATCTTTTCCTCATTGCCTTTCTCCTCCTTACAAGGAAATCACAGTCTGCTCTTATTCCCTGAAAATGGAGAACAGAGGTTGTAAATAAGAAACCACCACAGCTGTTGCTGGATGAAGGCAGATACTGAGATCTCTTGGACTGCACCTTCAGGTTGAGGCTTTTTCCCTTTAACATTGCTTTTGTCATTCTGTTGAGTTTCTGCTAAGCAACCATAGAAATGATCAGCTGTGAAAAATGGTCTAATTTTCTTCCTTCTGTGGTGGCATCTGTGGCAGTCCCAGGATCACATCTCAGCTTGCAAGGTGCTGGGGAAGCTCAGGTAGGAGGATGAGTGAGGATGGGCTTCAACACCCACTGCAGCTATAAGTGAAAGGGAACAAAATAGCTCAAACAGCAATCCAGTGAGACTTACAGAGCATGTACACTTAAATAGCTGTGTGAAAGGGGGTCCTATGGTCTTACCAAAGTGATAAGTAAATTTACTTCATGATGGCACTGTCCATTTTTCTGAGGCAGTACTTTACACCTGGTTTTTCTGGAGTATGCAAGGTTTCTTAGTGGAGCTGGACTCATAAGACTAAGTCAATAGAATTAATGATTAAAGTTGGTTCATATAATAAATACCAAATATGATCCTTAGCTTAGAGTTGACAAAAAATGGAGAAGAAAACCAGAACAAAACATCCTATTCCTTAGCATTTACTTTGTGTATGATATAGGACTTTCCGTATGAGATAGCACTTTCTGTATGCTCCAAAAAAAATAAACGTTTTTCTGTAGAGCAAATCCATGCTAGTGTGGGTTGCTTACAGCAAGGTAGGTGGAAAAACAGGTTACTGTGAAAAATGAGGTCAGCAGACTGCTGGAAGACAGGAACTCCTCCTCAGTTGTTAGGTAACACCAATATGTCGGCTTTATACCATGCTGCTTAATTTCTTTTTTCAATTTTTTTTAATGTGGTGTAGTATTTTCATAAGGGTAGAAGAGCCCACTTCAATGATGTCAACAGAATGTGTTCAGCCACTTGATATCCCAGAGGACAGATTGGACAAGCAAGATTCACAGTGTAACCATTTAGGTAAGTGTTATTTGATGATGTCATTGCACTAATAAGGGGTGTTGCCTTCACATCACAAAGTCCTGTCCATTTTTCCCCTCCAGCGATTCAACCAACCCCCCATGAAAACAGATAGATTACACCTTCTGCTGACGCTTCTAGTGCCAGATGGAAAGACAAAGAGCATTTTTCCTGCATATAAATATCAGCTGAAGCTCTAGAGTGAAGTTAATTAAAGTGGAGAAAGGAAAAAGAGTCATTGATCTTTTCCCTGGTAGAGCAGTTTCTTCATTTATACCACAGTAAATTGAAAGCTAGGCTATAGCTGAGCTTCCCTGAATATATCTTCAATATGCAATTTGAGTAAAAGATTTCAAGCATTCCATTTTCCATCATTGAGACAGCTTTCTAAAAATGTTTTCTCCTTCATCACCAGTTTCTTTTCTTGAAGCTACTTCATACAACTTTTACAATGAGCATACCAGGGTTGTCTTTGCTCTGTCACACTTCTGAATACCATGCTTGATAGATATGCTTTTTGCATATTCATGGTCTTTGCCTCTGTTTCAAGTGCTATGATTTCACTCTTATTTTACAAAATTGTCCTGAAGATTTAGCAACCCAGAAAGAAAAATCTGTTCACTTGTTGTTACCTTTGTGATGGCAATAATGAAACACAAATGCAATTTCACTTCCCTGTAAAAAAAAGTGTTTCACCACAGGTTTTATAAATTTTGTTTATTTGTACTGCAAGGAAGGAATCCTAGTTCTGTCTCTGCTACGTGACATTTCTAGCCACAGACACCGTTTTTACAAATACTGGTATACAAAGCATAGTTGGTTCATAAAATCACTTATTTAAATACATATAGAATGAGTTTCATTATACTGTTGGGAAACTGAGGCAGTGGGAGGGTTAATGAGCTCATTAGAACTATGAGGAAAGCCTGTGAAGGCCCAGAGGCCATCCTTCCCATGTCTACCTGCAGGCTCAGAGACATAACATCTGCTTTAAATAGTGTGAGAGAATCTGGAATGAAGTCATGCTTGCATCCAAGTCTGCAGTCAGGGCTTGGGTAACAGTGTGAGAAGCCCAGCTGAAGTCAAACAAGCAGCTTTTAAGAGTTCAAAGCATTGGTTTCTGCAATGATACTGATGAGAGGTACACAAATGAGAGGTTGAAATGCTTAAAGAATCATCATCAAGGTTATTGGTAAAAAGTGGGGTTTAATATGAATTTATGAGAATGCAGCTTTAACAAAGTGGCAAGGTTAATTCTATTACTTACCATGTAGACAAAGCATACATAAGTAAATTGGATTAGAAGCAATTTGGAATGATTTACATGAAGACTGGGATGGAAGAGGGTAAATGTGCAGAGGGTATGATACAAGAAAAGGGTGCAAAAGCACTTAATCATTGACTAATTTAATATTTTAAAAATAATTCAAAAGGATTTTCTACAATTATAACAGTGAGTTAATGACATAGTCAGCAACATTCATACCATAATCCATTCACTTGCGTGAACACATGAAAAAAGATGTATACCTCTATAACTACTAGTGAAAAGGTACCTATCAAAAATTCCCCTCAGGCTCAGTGCAATACTCTTATCAAATCCCTTAGTGTTTCTCAACAGGCATGGGCTGCACCTCAAGCAGTATGTGTGTGGGGGGGTGGTATCTGCCTAGACCTTGTTGTCAGCAATAGTATTTCAAGTACTGCAAACTTGAGGGTTTGCAAGCTCCAAGAGGCATCCCCCTCAGAGCCCCACTGTATTCCAGGAGAGATCAAACAGCCTCACTTAACACAGCTGTTTGTCACATCACAAGATGATTTTTCCCAAAAAGCCCAGCAAAACTAGTGCTATTACACTCAGGCAACAATTTATTTTTCCAAGAGGTCTCATAACAATGGTACCATTTCAGTTGGGCTACGACTCAGGTAAATTACTTATCAAGGCCAAAAAGAATGACTGCTTTTCCTTTGTTCCTTGCCTTGGTCAGACTGCTGATGTTCCTGCTATGGTCAGAATAGTTCCTACCTTTACCATACAAGATCACCCAGTATGGTCATGGATGCTTCACCACCCAGCTGGCACAGTTAAGGTGCACCCCACCACTCAGCTGGTTCAACTAAGGCTTATCAGAAGCTGCTGAGATTGCAGGGCAGGCCTAAAGAGGAGTTGAGGGAGGGGGATGTACTACCACAACAAGCTATCTTCAGTGTTTTCAGCTTGCATAAGCATCCAGAAATGCAGACTCTTGCAGAAAAAGTCAAGTTGACTTTTTACTCTGAGTCATCTGAGTAAAGGATTATTTTAAAGGGAAACCAAAAATTCACCATAATGTTATGTAAATAAAAAGAAAATACCAGTTTCTCAGTAGCTCTGGAAATAAAGTTAACCCTTGAAGGGAACAATATACTGACTGCCTCATTTTACCAGTACCTCAGACTGACCTTATGTAAAACTTTCCTTTACAAAACTGGCCTTGAAGACACAATCCACACAGTTACCACTGTATGAAACAGGAATGGCCATGGAACCTCTGAACACAATGATGCAGCCTTCCCTCTGACATGTAAACACACAAGCTGCCCACAACTCTCTGTCTCCATTTTATGTCTACTGCCAACAACACTGGACTACCTAAGTCACTTGACTCCCATGTGGTATGGAAAGGAGCCCTCTTTTGTTGGCTTTCTAAATATTTAAGAGATTTTTCTTCCTGGGCATTTTAATTTACTTGGATTAAAGCACTATTATCAAAGTGATTCTTTTCACCATCTGGTTTTTTATTTCCCCTAGATTTCAATTTCTGTTGTATTTTTTCCCTGCAGAAGATCTTTCAGAGCAGCTGATTAAGAGCTGTGACCTCAAAAAAAAACCAAGAAAAGGTAAAGCTCTCACAGCTTCCCAGAAGATTGAACAGGAGCAAAGGAAGCCAAAGAGAAAAGATACACCGGCTTTGCACACTCCACCACCTCTAACAGGTGAGTGGTAAATCTCTCGACTTCGAAATCCCAGTTCATCTCTAGGGACTGAAGCTGGGTGAAAGTGAACAGAATGTTGACTCAGTTATGTCCTCTTGGATGTCTTTCTCAAAGACATTCCATGTTAGTTGGAGGGTTTGGTCTCACTTCTAGGAGTACCAAGGTGGATAGGTTTATGCTCTGAAAAACATGCTCCCGTGAGCTGACAAATAATGTCAGATTTACATGTGAAATGATGTGCATTTATTGGCAGCTGCTGAGCCATACTAGATGTCCCAATTGCATATGGTCCAAAATCAAAAAGGATCAAGTCCAGCCCCTGCACTTTCTCATGAAACTTGCATCCAGTGCACAGCGGGAGGCTGGGGATAAGACTAGGAGTAGACCGGTGAAGTACACAAGCCACCTACAGGATTCTCCTCCTTGAAATCATAGGGCTCATGTGTTTATGGGGACTCTGGCAAAGGGTAGGCATTTCAGGAAGCCAGAAAACATCAGTGAAGGGGCTTCTTGTAGGGTGCTCCCTGCTGTGGCACAAATACAGGTGTCTGAGAGCCAAATGCCACCAACCTGGAGAAGGGAATAATAAGCAGGAGACTGCCACTGACACCTAATGATCCAAAAACCGCAGTGGGAATAAATGTTTGTCACTCTCAGCTAACAAGCACTCCTTGTTATAAACTACAGCGAGAGAGCTGTGCTCTTATATTATTGAGTTCCTCTTCCCATGCTGCACATACACAGAGGAGTTAGCCAGTAACTACTTGTATGCTTCTCCATATATCTGCAACAATTCACCAAGTCAAAAATATGCAACTGGGATTTTTCAGTATTTGTAATCCAGATATTGAATTTGATTTTGTTCAGTTTTCACATATATCTTCCATTAGCAATTCTCTCTTAGGAAGAGCAGCTCAGAGGCTGGAGAGCTGTGTTTTCTTCCTGCAATTGTCACACCATAAAGAAAACATTCTTTCACTGGTTAAAACAGCCACTTCTGTGTGGTCACATTGCTTCCCAATTAACCTCTTGAGTATCTGTGTGATTAAGCTACTGTGGTAACAAGTCTAAAGTTCTGGAACAGGATATTACACTCATCTGTTCCATGATTTCTGATGGGCTGCAGTTCAGTGCATTATGTACAATCAGAAGCCAGCTGACCTGATAGCATTGTTTTCTAGAGACTATGGAAAATAATTAATTTGAAAGAAATATAGGGTAGGTGCATCATGCAGCAGATCATGCAGTTGTGTAGCTGTACTTCAGAGTTGTCTTTGGGAGAGCTATACAGGTGAAAGTTTCTTCAATGTAAATAGTCTAAAGTAGCATTTTCTTTATTTCTTACTTACAGCCATAGTTTCAGGCTCATCTGAAAATCTGCTGAAAAGGTATGGTATCACAGAGAAATCACAGAGAGAAAGAGTGAGACCAGTCTCTCAAATCGCTGAACTGGAGCAGAAAAAGCCCAGAAGAAAAGATACACCTGCAATACACATCCCACCTTTGATAATAGGTAAGAAACTTGGGTAAAGAACCTCCTAAGAGGCAGCAAAAAGTGGCTAGTGTCAGAGATATACTTGGAAGGCTAAAAGGAGGTTGCTCTCTGCTCAGTGTACTTAGCAGTTCTTCAACTGGACCTATTTGGTCTAAGTATATAATAACAGTGGGGGTTCATGAAAAATCTAATACATATCCCATGTTCAAGCTCTGGGGATAGAAAGGACAGGGAGAAAGAAACAGCATTTGGTCACTCGATTATCTCTTGCAAACTGCAATCCTACTTTTCTGAAAAGCCAACTCCTGACCTGCTTTTCAAACCTAAGCACATAGAAATTTTTAGGTCACCAGCACTAAAATGCCTCAAACAACCTGGAGCAAAGCTGTACTGATCAATCCCCTCCTCATTCTGCAGTCTCTGACATGCACTGAGGAAGCCAAGTGGTGATGAACCTCTCATTTAGCAGCACCTTAAAGATAATTCTGTGCTTCTGACATGATGTGCAATACAGGGAAGGGAAGGGAAGGGAAGGGAAGGGAAGGGAAGGGAAGGGAAGGGAAGGGAAGGCCTATCATGGATCATTTGAATAGAGCTAACCTGCTTTTTGGGTACAGTCAAGAGTAAGAATTTAGGAATGTATACTAAATAAAGTTGCACTGTGCGTTATGATTATGTCCCCTCTTTTATTTAAATTAAGAAGTGATGAAGGAAAAGAATATTTATGTAATTCTGATTACCTAGTTATAGCACATAAACCAACCTTTTTAGAGCAGATGCTAGAGACAGCTGAACTGTAAGACCCAAACAGAGGTTGCCAGCTCTCGGATGGACCCATACTAGTAGTGTATCAAATGCTTACCACAATCAATAGCAAGATCATTACCAATGAATCACTTTGCAAACTGATGAACTACAGATGTTCCCAGTAGAGTTCAGGACTCAAAACTCAGAGAGGGATGTAGCCCAGAGAAGGCTACAGAAGAGGTTATAAACTTTCCATGGACCACTAGCAATTTCAAGGAAAAATTGGCATTTTAATTCAAAACAATGGAAAGGGAATACAAATGGGAGCTCAAAATGGTAGTGATTTGTATAAAACTTCTTTGATATGATGCCTCTGACAACTTCTGAAGAAAATGTGCTTTACTGAATGCAGTTTAGAAATTCTGGGTTTAAAGGAGTGAGAAACATGTTTGATTTGGGAAACATTTGTAAGCTAGTCTTTCTCTGTTTGCTGTTTACATAAATAACTTAGCCTCCCTACCTCTGCTTTCCTAGCTGTGTGTATTATGAAATGCAACTCATCCTGCAGACCTATTTTAAGGATTGTTTATTTGATTGTTCTGTTAATATTTGCCAAGGGATCTGGCTAAAGGAAACAGAGGGTAAATATAATGTAATCATAATTTCCCAGCAGAACTTGCAAGTACTTGCAATTTTTAGGTAGACTCTGGAACCACAATGGCTCACAAAAGCATGAGTGTTTCTGTTAGTAAGCTAAAAACCAGGCAGAAGAAGTTTTCTTAAATCATCTATTTGTCAGGTGCTACCTAGATCTAAGCCATACCTCCTGAGCTACAAATCAGAAAAACAGCAAGATAGCACATCTACAGACTGCCTAGGGACAACTCCTGCATCTGAGTTGGGAAAGGCAAGAGGTGAAGGGTTAAACTTTCATTCTTCTCACCCAGAGGTTTTCAATGGAGGTGTGTTATTTTCCCAAAGGAGACACCTTAACTGGTTTTCTGGGCTTGAGAGAGAATGAGGGTTTGAAACTGGTTTTACTAGTTATCTCTCATTTGATTAGGAAACCTCAGTCAGACACATTTCAGGAACTGCATTCCCATATTTACACATGTATTTACATTCTAGCTCAAATCCACAGGCCTGAAGGCCTTTAATTTAGTTAATAGACTATATAATGCTAAGTGGGAATGACAATAGAGTGTTCCAGAGCTGACTACGGGCTTGGATCAGATTCAAGCCATTTACTGTCAAGTGATGCAGAAAAAAAGACCATTAGAAATCTGATTATATTTTGTCTTCTGGTCTAATTCTTCTAATTCTTCTGGTCTTCTTGTCTTCAGAAAGACAAGGTGTTGGGTGACTGAAGGAGAGCTTGCCACTGAAGAAGACATCTGCCCATCACTCATTTATATGGACACGACACAACATTAACTGTGCCAATTAGTAGAAGTTTGAAGGCTGAATACATTTAGAAGCCTGACCCTTGTAGAGATTTCAGATAACTAATTTAGTAGCCCCCTTTCTTTATCTGCATTTCCCAATTGGATTGGGTGCTTGCAAGGTGTAAAACTTATTCTGCTTCTCACTTGGACCACATGCCACCCAGTAGATTCATTAATTTTCTTCATGGTACCTTTGACTTGCTTTTGTTTGTGACAGAAAATCTCTCTGGCCATCCAAAGGGAGAGGGACTGTCCTAGGAGTGCTGGTCAAAATAAAGAGGGATAACAAATCCTCCATTTTAGCTGCATTTACAATAAAGTATTTGTGTGGACAGCTATTCAAGAGAACACTCTATTAATTAAGCTCTTTTACTAGAATTAAGTGGAGTTTCTTGAATTGGTATCTCTTTGTAGGGCATCTGAAGGGGAAATATTAGAAATGGTAACAATCCTCATTATCAGGTCACGAATGCCTTAAGATTTTAGCTTTTATATTTTTCAAAACCTGTACTGCATTAATGCATAACTCCAAACTCCATATAAAGTGTAGTTAACTGTCTTCACATTTTAGTTAGACAAAATAATCCCTCTGGGCCTGTGATCCAAGCACACACCAAGCCTCAGGCCCTGAGATGTATAAACAAAAGTGAATTGGGGCGGAGCAAGATGGGAAAATATGGCTTCATTACCTGACGCTGTAAGAGAATTAACCCCTGACATGCAAATAGACCAAAATTATATCTGTCTGAAAAACCTGTGACAACCATCCATCTTGGGTGTAGCCTCTGTGAGGTTTTTACACTGCCTAAGGTGTAGCTACTGAGGCCTTTAATAAATTCCCACTTCATTCTCTTAATTCTGTCTAGCCTCCGTTCTAGGTAGCCACTCCAAGACATCCATACCATGTAGCACTGAGTGCTGCTTCCTTCAGCACGGCTAATAACAAGGAGACAGGACAGAAAGGCTTGTCTATTTTTACTTAGCTCACATAGTCCTGCTGGGTCTTCTTGGGTCTCCAAGTCTGTAATTCAGGTTCTGTTTTGCACAAAAGCTTAAGCAGTTCCACAAAAGCTTAGTTTCTTTGTGTGCACTACCAGATGGAATAAATCTGAAAGTAAATAAGTAGCAAATATTGGACCAGCCTTTAACCAAAGGCCTTTCATAGAAAATCATGGAGCCATCATTGGTGAATTTCAACCAGCAGATTGATGTACGTTGCTATGTATCTTGAAAAGTAAATATGCATCCTTAGAACAGGAAGGGAATGGAATTCAGGCATTTAAATACATAGGTTACTTTGCCTGGTACAGGCATAAGTCTGCCACAGGCTGAAAAGCTCTGTACAGACAGGCAGCATCTTAGCAGACTGTTTCTGTAATTCTCTCAATAGCAAACGCACATAGATTGGATTTTGTTACACATTTGGAGGTACATTTTAAGCATATATTAGTTATGTTTTCCCTGTTCCTCAAATGGTCCAGGATGTAAAAACCAACAACAAATAACCCACACTTCCCTTTGGAGCACACACAACCCAAACCCCAAAGAAAAAAGACAAAAAAGCCATGCCTGTATATGCCTAGGTTGCCTATAGGGATAGAAGTTTGTTTGGGAATATTAACATCCATCTCCATAAAATGGCATCATTCTTTGCTGTTAACAACAATAGTTACTTAATTGCTGCTTGAACAAATGAAGTGCTTTGTGTTTCAAATTAACATTAATTTATGCCTTTCAGTTTATCTCATAGTGCTGCTGAAACCAGCTGGTCCACAAGAACTGCATGTAAATAAAGATGGAGCTAACTTAAATGAAGTGTAGTGTAGGTCAATATTTTCATTAATTTGTCTCCTCTGAAAAGACTCTAGATTTGAAGAAAATCTTCCTCTGTGGTATTATCCTATTTTCAGACCTGGTCAAGACTGAAAGCCTTCTCTTGAAAGAATGGTTGATGCAGAAAGAAGCAAAACAAGTTGATTTGACAGAACAGCGTGGCTGGCTAACCACCAGTAGGAGATCAGATTTAAAAGGGGAGATTTCATTGGTCTCAAAGCAATGGTGTCCCTCATCCTGTTTGTAGAGTGTTAACATCCACACCAAGGCATGTGGGCATAAAATCCATCACAGAGGTCAATTGATTTTTATTGGAAACAGGCAAGCCCAGCACAGTATGTTAAAATATTTAACCTACGTTAAAATAGGTTTCAAAAACATTTTGTACTTAATGTGTTGTTCTTGCATCACTCTTATTTTTTTTGATGTGGAGAGCAGTTACAACTTTTGTTATACCTTGGTATTTTACAAAACCCTTCAGATCCCCAAAGGCAGACTTACTGGTTTAACAGAGAAAAAGAGAAAGAAAGACACAAAGAAAGGAGAAGAGATAAATTTGTGGGATGCACGATCTACAATCCAAGTCTATTTTCACATTGTTCTTAATTCAGTAGCTTTTGCAATTTACTGATACTATATCATTTCAGTGGAGATGGCATTTGTCATGTGGTTATTTTAACATCTCTTTTGTCACCTGCACTTGCAAAATCTAAGTATTATGGCTATATACATAGAGAAAACATACATATCCACAAAAACTGTTTCTGCCACAACGATTAATTACAGTACTTGCTTCATCACGCAAGCTCTTTCCCTTATTTAGCTACCCAGACCTTTCTAACAAACAGGTTCCCAAATGAAACATCAGTCTCTTTTTAAAGGTATCAAAAATATGCTGGATTTAATAGTGCTTAATAATTTTAGCTAAAAATGCAGTGATTCAGCTCTAGTTCACTATGTATTAGGAGACTGAAATGCCAAAAAGAAATGAGTAGTAACTCACATGATGCTGGAAAACTACATTAAAATAAAAAAATAAGAAACAACTGAAAAACTCTCTTTAGCCTTATATTTTCTAAAAAGTACATTAAATCAACTCCTCTTTTCACCTTTTACTTTGTTTGTTTGTTGTTTGTTTGTTTGTTGTGTTCTCTTTTTAAGGCACTAAGCTGTTTATAGAAGAAGAACAAACGGTGATTATGGAAGATGAAGAAAAGGATGGAGACACAATCCACAGTTAGATTACAGTGATACTTCAATAATACAGTGTAAATAATCATGGGTCATTCAAAGTGGCAGCACGTTAAAAAAGATCTTTCATCTTTATAAATAATTTTCTCAATTGTACACTTGAATTTAAACTATTATCAAGTGCTTACCTGCTTACTCATAATTCCCAGCAAACATCACTGGAGATGATGGAAGAAATTTCAGTTAGACAGGTTTTAAAGGATTCTGTTGGTTTACTACAAGTAGCTTCAGAGCGTTTTTGTCAATGAGGAATCCACCTCAGATCAGATCTAGCTTTTCACAGTGTGGTACTCATACAGTACCTGGCACTAGAAGTGGTAGTTCTGAGTAGTATAACATCAGCTAATGATTCAAATAGCTTTTTTTGCCTGACACTTTACCTCATTTGTCCAGCTTTCCTTTCCTGGAGTAATACCAACCACAGTGAAAATTTCCATGTGCAGAGCTGATGGGATAGATGGAGAAGGTGAGAGGTCAAGGATTCAACTCTAGAGCCCCTGAAATGCAAAGCAAAAATTTCCTCTGCCTGTATCTGCTCATGACTTGTGTCTGTAAGGAGGAAAAGATAAATTTACTGTAGAATTAAAATTTACTCCTTAGGGCTCTCTGTTGACAGACACGTCAAACAGGATGGAGGGCAGAGATCTCAGAGGAGAAACATTAGGGAAGTGCAACCTGTACACAATTGTCTTCACTGGCTTGGTGAAAGATATAATAGTTGGATAGTTGATCCTTTTCCTACAAATAATTTCTTTTCATATCTGCTTTTTCAATTGAGTCCTAGGTAATCAGTCAGAAGAGGCTATAAAGATTCAAAATCACAGCAGGGAGGTATAAATTGAGTAAAAGGAATAATGTTACTCAATGGCATATGCTTACTGCAAAGTAGAAGAGCATCATGTGACTTTTTTAATAGTTTGCCTCAATGATCCAAACACTAATTTTTTTCACAACCAGCTACAGCCTTCAGCATTTGTAGAGAAATGGGTATTGGTAGAATATCTACCAAAATATCTACCAAAAAAACAAAGGGTAGAACTGGTCACTTTTTGCTTGTCTAAATAACTCTGGGCTAGATGGAGTAGCACTGCCAGCTGAACCCTTAGGGAACTAAGCAGAGAGGCTGAAGATTATCTAGCCTGGCAGACTGAATTTAGTCATCTTTTTAACTCACTTAGGCAGACAGCTGAGGACCATAGTAGTTTGGTATGAACTCCATTTGCCACTGTGATTGACCCAGCATCTTTCATGAGAATGTAGTCCATTCACAAATGTATGTGAATGTATACTCTCAAGATGTAACCAATGAGCTTACAATAAATAATTGAATATTAATTACATACAGAAGGTCTGCTATATTAGTAATGGGATGCCTCTTACTTAGAAAGTGTACTTGCTTTTATCCCATTAATTTATCAGTGAGAAAAGATAATATTTAAAATATAAACAATCAATAGTTGAAATAACAACATCAATATAAAATCCACAGTAAAGTATGTCACAACAACTACATGGCAAGAAATATGTATGACTCAGGTCTACCTTCACCAGTGGAGTTGGTGAATATTTTCAGTGCATATGTAGTGAGTTGACCTTGGCTAGATACCAGGTGCCCACCAGGCTGCTCTATCACTCCCCTTTACAGCAGGACAATGGAGAGAAAATATGATGCAAACCAACTAGTATGTTGAGATAAGTCAGTTTGCAAAAGCAAAGTATAAAACAAAAGAAAAGCAGAGGTTTACTCATGCATAAGCAAAAGGGTGTTACATTGGGCTCGCAGTTTGGAGACAGGCACAAGACAGGACTCACCAAAGATCATGTGATAAACAGCCAAGATTTACTGATAAGCACGCCCTTTTATAGGGGTTTCAAAATTCCCACACTTACCCACCTGGTTGGTCGGGGTCTCAGCACTGCCCAGCTCCCTGGCCAGTTAGATGTCTGTGTTCAGGATAGGATGGGAGTAGCTGGGGTCCCCTGATTGAGTTGTAATCCAACCTATTATTGTTTCATCCAGAGACTTGTTTGCTTCCAGACTGGTCAGGTCTGGAGGTCTGTTATAGCCAAATTTATCTGTGCAGCTTCAGACTGGCTGCAGCTGTCACTAAAGGGAAAAAAATATCTACTTCCCATCAGCAAGTGTTATTCAGCCACTTCCCAGGAAGCAGGTTTTCAGCTTCTGGAGTGGTTGCTCCAGAAGCCAAAAATGGTAGCATAATGAATGCCCCCCATTCCTCCTCTTCCTCATAGCTTTTGTATCTGAGCTGATGTCATATGGTATGGAATTTGGTTTATTTGGGTCAGCTATTTTGGCCTAGTTGCATCCCCTCCCAGGACCTTGCCTACTCCCAGTCCCTTGACAGGAGGCATGGGAGAGAATGTTAGAGAGACAGCACCAGTGCTGTGCCAGTGCAGCTCAGCAGCAGACCAAACACTGGTGTTTTATCAACTCCTCTCCAGCTACCAATGCAAAGCACAGCATGTGAGGGAAATTTAACTCTAAAGGGAAAATTAACTCTTTTTCAGCCAGACCCAATACAGCACAATACAGCAAGAGGGAAGTGTGGAGTCCTGAAAAGATTCAAATTAACATCAGCAATGAATTAGCCTTGAAAATCTACATGTTTAGACATGAAGGGGCTTAACAACACAAAGCAGGAGTACAGATAGGATGTGAATGATTTTACTGCTTTGAAAAGACTCTGTTTCCAAGCCTGGGAAATGCTGACACCTTTTAATGGGAAATAAAAAAAAATCAAAAAAATTAGCATCCTTTAAGCCTAGCGCTGTATATTGCTCAGCAAAGAGGAGCTACAGTCTGAGTGACATCTCTGATGGCACAGCAGCCTAATTTACCATCCCTGTACGGATGAAATTGAAGCCTAACAGAAGAATGCTGCTGTTTCCTTAAAAAATGGCCTATTCACAGCCATTTTATCTTTTTTTTTCTCCCCAGGACCAACATGAGCAATTAAAAGTAATTTTTCACTTGATCAATTAAGTAAATAGGAGGTTTTGTAATGTTCCTAGCAAGTAGTTATAAGGACCTGTTAGTAAAAATAATGCCTCAAAAAGTGCTTCATCATTATCACTATCTCTTTGAACATCTGAATACTAAGAGCAGCCTGCCTCGACATAGGAAAGTAAATAGGAAGGCAAAACTAGAGAGAAGGAAGAGAATGAAAGAAACTCTGGCCATCACCTTCCCCCCCACCTCCCCTCCACTGCTGCCTTCCAAGCTTTTTCAGAGCAGTGAAAAGAACCTAAAGCCTCCAAAAGCTGAGACACCACCAAGCCTTGGGTGCCTCCAGCCTGGGGAAAGCAGTAACCTACTGTGACACACAGGTGACTTGTGGAAACCCTCCTCTGCTCCTGCATCCTTTGGTGTGAGCAAGAAGAGAGGACCAAAGTGAGCTGCAGGGACCACATGCTTCACCCCCCACCCCCCTCAATGAAAATATAGCAAGTGCATTTGGTAAATTATCCTATGCTTGTAAAGTAATCTTAGCTTTTTTCCAACTTTTCTCTACTTTCCCCTTTCTCTCTCTTTGCCTCTTTTACAGTTAATACAGTGAATATATATATATATATATATTTCTTTTGAGTTTTAATTACATTTTGGGGAATATTTGAACCTGAAGTTCTTTCCACAATTCACAGAGATGAATGCTCCTCCATAATAAAGTGGATTGTAACATTTAATCATGGGACATGAATCCCTTAAAACTAGAATGCTGATTCAAAAAAAAATAAATCAACAAATTGCTAATTTTTATGATTGATCATTTTGTGTTAGAGAAACAAAGCAAGATACCCTTATGAGTTTTCCTTTTTTTTTTTTTTTTTTTTTTTTTTTTTTTTGGTCAGTAAAGTGCTTTGCAAAAGATTGCTTTTTGATGAAATTAATGCTTTAGGCTGGTGGACTCAAACCATGGGAGAGAGGAGATCCCCTGGCTGTAGTGAGAAACATTAATCAGATTGTAGAAAGCATGAAAAAGCTGCTTGTTTACAAATGATGCATGATAGGGAGTTAACACCATGGTATGAATCCCCTATGATAATGTCTGTAGACCCTGAAATAATGATACCTCTTATCAGAGGCCACCCTGAAGCTACGAAAGCCATAGGCATCCAGCTAAAAGGACAAATAGAAAGCCTCATGAGAGAGGAAAGAGCTGTAGCCACCTTGGAGGCAGCTATTACCCCCAACCATAACTGAGAATAAAGTAAAATTTGAACCTGGGGGTAGGTGGCACAAAAATTAATTAATTATGGAAGAAAATATGACCTAATACCTCCAAGTACAACTGATTTTAAATCAACTCAGCACACAGTTCAAAACAACAGTGTCTCCTGTAAGACTCCAAAAGGCAATGTCCTCCCCCTGGGCAAGGAGGATGAGCTAACACAAGGGAAGAACACAAGGAAAAAGAAATATCCTGTGGAATGTGGGCTTTCAAAAAGGGATCCCAAAAACCCTAATGGATGGCCAACCCACTAATAAATTAGAGATATTAAACTGAGAAAGCCAGCAAATGAGAGATAACAGTAAAAGCTATCCCTGCTGCAGCCCTTCCCTCAAGGGATCACAGAAAGGGAATGTGACAGGAAACTCCTATCTTCATCCCAAGAAGGTAAGCCAGGGGACAAAGGGCTTACCAAAAGCTACAGAGGAAACTTATTAATAAGCTGTCCTGTTGGCACCCACAAAATCCCTGTAACTTTTCTAGTAGATATTGGTGTTCAAATATCTGCCCTTAAAATTGAAGACACCTCTTCATGTGGAATCACTGTATACTTGTGCATCATTTTGGATACACACAACTCCTGACAACAGCAAAGGTAAAATGCTGGTTACCAAGAGAGGAGAAAGCAGTTGAAACCCTAATCATTTAGGGTAAATTTCCTACAGATTTTTTGGAGCTAGACCTTAAGGGAAGGTCTTGGACTAATGAAGAAGGGAAAATATGGGCTTTAGGGGAGGAAACCCAACATCTGTGTTTATGAAGTTCTGCCCCTGCTTTTTCCCCCTCCTTATGCCAACGTCCCCCCTCCTCCAATGCCAAACCTTACCCCTTACCCTTGTGAGACAGTGAAGGAATCACCCCAGTTATTGGAGATTTGAAAGAGGAACAGTGATTGCAACACATTCTCCTTACAATCCTCCTGTCTGACCAGTCCACAAGCCAAACAGCAACTGGATGGTGAACTATTCATGTCTTAACTCAAATTTGGGGCCTGTCACCACAGCAGTCCCAAATATTGTTGAGCTGATATCTACTATACAAGAACAGGCTCATAAAATTATGGCCCCTATTGGTGTCAAGGATATGTTCTTTATGCCCTGCAGGAAGAGGATCAGGAGCATTTTGCTTTCATGTGGGTGAGCCAGCAATACACTTCACCCTCCTCCCACAGTGACTTAAACACTCACCCACTCTAGCACATCATGCACTGGCACAAGAATTGTCACTCCTTCCTCCTGCACCAGAAGTAAAAATATACCAATACATTGATGACATTTAGGCAGCAGAAGATTAAATTCCACCAGTACAATCAACACAAACAGACATTATTAAGAATCTAGAGTCCCTGGACTTATATAATCCTCCTGAAAAAGTACAACCCCCTGCTCAAGAGGTAAAATTCTTGGGAATCTGGTGGAAAGGAGGAATTGCCTGTGTTCTCCCTGGCAGCCCTCGCCCACCTAGACCAAATTAAAATACCAGAGACTAGAAAGACTTGCAGCATGCTTTAGGCCTGCTGATTTTTTGGAGGAAACACATTCCTGATTTCTCAATAATTGCAAGGCCTTTATATGATCTGCTATTGAAAAAGGCGAAGTGGGATTGGACCCCCCTCCATGATGAGGCCCTATAACTCCTAATTTTTGAAGCCAATATATACCAATCATTAAGCCCTATACACCCTACTGATCCAGTACAAATTTGCTGGGGATTTGCAAGCTCTGGACGGTACACACACAGCAGAAAGGACCTAATAGTCTTACCAGACCCATAAGATTTTATTCCTGCAGTTTTAAAGATGCAGAAAAACAATACTCTACCTGGGACAACAGCTTGTTCGTGGTTAATACTGCTTTTCAGAAAGCAAAGGAAACTATCCACCAACAAACACTAATTTTAAGAGGACCTTTTAAAGTCATCAAGCCCATTTTGGCAGGAACACCACCCTCAGATGGGGTGGCCAAACAAGCCTCTGTTCAAAAATGGTACACTCAAACTGAACATTGAACAACCACTTCAAGCCTTCAGGTGGGAACTAAGTGCTTCAATCAGTGAATAAAAGACTGATTGCAGTCAGGAGATTGTTAATGGTTAATAGTTTTGAAGCAAATTACCAATTACCCTCTACCTAGAAACTAAGATACAGGTCTCTATTTACAATAAAATTGGGACCAAGGGATTTAATGGGATTTAATAACACTTTTAACAACTTTCAGCTAAGGATTACAGGAACCCCATCACCCATCCTAAGGGGTTGTGATGAACATTTCTTTAGTGCTAAATATTAGGTTCATAGGTTATGTGAAACAAATCCAAAGAAATATTCATGATGTTTGTAAACTCACACTTTATTCATAGATAAAACAGAATTCACAGGCATTGAACTTAGCAAAACTTACACTGAATTTTTGTCTGGTTGAAATTTTGTCTTACTGGTTAATAAATTGATAATTGTATAATGCTTTGACCAAAATTAATTGATACACTTAGATATTATAACAGATTCTCTTCCTGTATGTTATATGCAATTTCCACCATTTGAGATTACACTTTTTACACATGGCCTTACAGTATTCTTGTATGCAGAGATACTGCCCAGGAATAGCATCTACAAGCAAAAATCAAAAATGCATGTCAATGAAGCACAATAAAAATTTTGGTTTTCACTTGTATTCAGATAATTTCCTAAACAGATATTATTCTGTTACTTATATTTTCCCTCCCCAAAAAGTGATGTGGTGCAAACAGAAATACCAAAATTTTGGCAGTATAGGTCTACAAACAGAAAGAGTGAACATTTAAAGCCAGCTTCTACTCCATGATATTGGCTTTTGGTCCTACGTGAGAGAAAGAGAGAAGCATGCATCTTTGGAGATTTTCACAGCCAAACTGGACACAGCCCATTATAACCTGCCTTGGTGAGCTATATATGAACATGCAAACTCCAGAGCTGTGATCCAGCCTTAGTGATTCTGTGACTGTAGTCTGGGACCCACACTAAGGTGGCTCCCCAGTGATGCTTAGCAGGTCTGTGAGAGATAAGGAAAAAAGTTAGTGGTAATGAAGTGATGTCACATTAAGTTAAAAATTCACAAAAAGTTCACAGTAAATTTAAGTTAGTTTTAAAACCATGACAATAGGGTGCCAGAGTAATGGAGCAATGAGGAGTTCCCAGGAAATTCCAAAAACATAAGATGTGAATACTTGAAAGAGTCCTATGCCTAACTCACTGTGGATTTTAACATTCAGATTTTAATTCAGACTTAAATTCTTTCCTAGGAAAAAAAAAAGGAAGAACTCTTCAAAAAACAAAGCACCAAACTTTTTTCCATAGCTAAGAAACCTAGTGATTACAGCTAAGACTCCATTCAAAAATGGACTAAAGAGAAAAAAAGATTAAATTTTCAAGTGTTGATAGTTGCAATGACTTATTGATAACAAGTTTAAACAGCATCATAAGCCTATGATAGTAAAACTTGCTAAAAGGGACAGACTTTTTTCTACGCTGGGGGCCAATGATTAATCTCAGAAATCATAAATACAGAAGAAAGCTGAGTGCACTGCAAAGCTGGTCCTCCTCCAAATATAGATTTTATTTGTGGAAAATTTCCCTTTGTTGTACACTAGATGTCAGGGTTGGACTGAGTAGACGAGCCCATCCATTTCATCGTACATTTCTATACATCAGACTGGATGCCATCAACATAATTAAGTGGTAAGCTTAGGAATTATTTTTGTGAAGCATCTGGTGTTCGCTAGAAGCTGTCTGCACAAACATCCTCTCTCCTCCACTTGGCAATATTTTATTTCAGCCAAAAGCCCCAGGCATTCTGAGATATTCCGATACCAGTGAGTGTCTGGCAGCATTCTTCACCTTCTCCAGCTCCAGGAAAAAAAATCAACAAATCAAACAATGCCTCTGAACCACATGGGTGAACAGACACATTCTAGAGGCGACTCTATTAAATAGCAGTGCAGGATAGCATGGATTTAGATGGAGAAAAGAGGGAGCAAAGGAACCTGACTCCAATAAATTTTAGAAACCATAGGCACTCCCCATGAGTCAACAAGCTGAGTGATGCAGCTGACACTCCTGGAGAACAGGATGCCGCCCAGATGGACCTGGATAAGCTTGAGAAGGGAATTCATGTGAACCTCATGACATTAACAAGACCAAGTGCAAGGTGCTGCTCCTGTGCAAGGTGCTGCACCTGGGCCAAGCAACCTCCAGTATCAATACAAGCTGGGCAATGAACAGACCACATGCAGCCCTGCTGAGAAGGAATAGGGGTGCTGGTGGATGACAGTCTGGATATGCAGTCCAGAAAGCCAACCATGTCTGAGGGCTGCATCACAATCTGGGCAGCCAGCAAGCTGACAAGGAGTGATTCTACCCTTCTGTTCTGCTCTGGTAAGATCCCACCTGCAATGCTGAATCCAGCCCTGGGGTCCCCAGCACAGGAAGAACATGGACCTGTTCAAGCAGGTCCAGAGGATGCCCAGGAATATGTTCAGAGGGCTGGAAAACCTCTCCTATGAAGACAGGCTGAGAGAGCTGTGGCTACTTGTCCTGGAGAAGAGAAAGCTCCAAGACATTTTAGCACCTTCCAGTACCTAAAGCAGACCTACAAGAAAACTAGAGAGAGACTTTCTTCAAAAGCATGTAGGACAAGGGTGAATGGATTTAAACAGAGAGAGTAGGTTCATATTGGATATTTGAAGGGTGAGGCACTGGAACAGTTTGTCCAGAGAGGCTGCAGATGCTCCATCCCTGCAAGTGTTCAAGGCCAGCCCGGATGGGGCCTTGCTCATGTGGAAGATGTCCCTACTTATGTCAGAGGAGTTGGAATGAGATGATATTTAAAGCCCCTTTCAACCCAAACCATTCTCAGAGTAATGACACAAACCATTCTCACACTAATGACAGAAGAATGATAACACAAACTATTGATTATAATGAAAGAAAAAAAAAGAGGTTTCTCTTTCAACCTCTACAAGTAACCTAGTGCTGTCACTTGCTGTCCACAGGCAGAACTCTCTTAGGTAAAGTGTCCCATGGGGAAGAAATGACACAGACAGAAAATGTGTTTGGAAAGACAATGTAATTTTGCACATATACATACATACATGGATACAGTATATGCAGTATGCAGCCTATTTGAGTAAAACATTTTAGGGTATTCTACAAGCAAAATACAGTCTTAGGAATTTCCTGGAGATAAATCACATTTCATAAGCAAAAGGCTTTAAAGTGCATTCCTTTTAAAGTGTTTAGGCAGTGATCCAGCCCTGCTGCTGGAGTCACAAGTTCTGGTGATGGTTAACATCACAAATATGAAGCACAGACTACAAAGGATGAAAATAACTGAAACATGATGACATCAGAGTACTTGGGCAGTGAAGATGTCTAGCAAAATATTGTAAAAAGGTGTGAGATCTTGAGATGAGTTCACCTGGAATTGCACTGGTCCTCTCTTAAGGTAGTGAGGGCATCTGTAGCACTGGGAAAACACTTTGGGAAAATATTTTTCATGTGATAACCAGCCTTGATTTAAATGTGACTGTCATGCACCAGTAGGAACATACACCAGCTGGTGCAGTTTTAGTGTTGAACCTGATTACAACAAACTTGTAGTGTATAACAGTGCTAATTAACAGTGAGCAAATTTTTAGAAATAGAAATAATAGAATTGGTAGGTGGCAGGGATACTTTGACAAAAATGCTTAGAACAAAGAGTGTTCAGACAGGTTTCTGTACAATAAATTTTGCTTCACAAACCTTGACACTTGTTGGAGGAGCCAACAGTGGTTTTCTCCATTTTTCCAAGGTCCTGATGCAAAGAATGTCAAAGCTACTGAGTTGTCATGGATTAAAAGAGGATGGCAACGTATGATCTTAAGATGGGTAAATAAGTTAACAATGGGGGGAAAAATAAAAATGCATAAATAAATTTAAAAGTGTGATGAAAGGGTCAGGACTCATAGTAAAGAATGATTGCTGCTTCTGCTATTTAATGTGCTTCTCCAGAAGATGTGATTTGGAAAAGTTGTTGGTGGAAGAAGAAAGGAAGCAGGGAACAGAAATGAAGAAAAAGTGAGCAATTAGGAAAGAAGAAGAAGCAGCAGCTTACTTCAGTGTAGTGGGCAAATCTACCAGTTCAGTGTTGGACCCATTTTTAAGCCAATTTAGTGCAGAAAGATGCATATAGAGAGAGGCAACACTAATTCCATAATTCCACATGTGTACTTGGGCTAAATATTAATTAGGATTTTTTTATAGAGAATTCTACAGAAAGTATTGTTCAGTCCTCAAGGAGTTTCAAAAATTTAAAAAAAAAATTAAAAAAAAATTTAAAAAGGTACAACTTTAAAATCTATTTGAAAAGCATAGAAGTAGAACAGAAAGTGTAATTACCTTATTGTAAACATTTTGGGTATACCTGCAATTTGGACAGTATGCAGTGCTTGTTTTCTCCTTTCAAAATGATATTAAAACCAAGAAGGATATAGGGAAGAGCAGCAAGTAAAATTAAGAGTAGGTTTGCCTGTGAGAAAACTAAAAAGAGGACTGCAAAGGAACAGTTGAGGTAGCATGTAAATCACCAGGGGCTTGGGGAAAGAGGACAGAGAGCTATTTCCCACTGTTTCTCAAAGTGCAAAATCTGGGGGTGAGAGGACCTTTTTCACAAGGGACATGTTCAACTGTGAAACTCAGTCCCATGGGACACTGTGTACTGAAAGAATGCATGGGAGTAAGTTCAACTATATTAATGCCATAAAAGACAATCAGTGTTATTTAACATTCAACAGAATTTAAGCAAAGAAGAATTTTAATCTTGTGCTATATGCTCTTTTTCTAGTGAGTGAAGTGAGGGGACTCTGTACTCCAGCCTCCTACCTGCATCTTCCTGAATACCTATCGCACTGTGACAGAAGGACATTTATTCTCAGTACTGTTAGGCAAGAAAAATTTTCCCATGCTGTCTGAAATAGCTCTTGTTTTGACTGTGGTAGGCAGAAGGTCACATTGAGAACACCATAAGGAAACCAACAATCTAGGAAAGCATTGACTCAATTTGACAGAAGTTAAGTCACATACAATTACTTTGTGTACATAATTCTTTCAAGGTAACAGACCAATATTTTAGTAATAAGTGAGCATATGATGCAATAATAAGGCTATTGAAGTAATTTCTAAGAAAATGTCCATTATATTGTATAGTTAAGCCATACACGTAGTTTTAGCTAGAATTGCTGCTGCTGTCAATGTAGCGTGGCCTGTGCTATGATTCCACAATGTTCTCTGTCTGCCATTCCAGAAGAAACCTCTTTATCTCTTCTGCTATTTCCTATTCCAACACTGGGAAATATGTTGAATTTTCTTCATTCTTCCCCTCTCATCAAACACCTTACCTCTCACCGGATGTTCCTCCAATTTCTTGTGTAAGGCAGGGAAATAGCCTCCTGGGTTGTGAGTAGGCCTCCTGAGGTGATGCAGTTGAGGTTTGATGGCTGGTGGTGACAAAGGAAGAACAACGATGGTTACTGTGCCTAGCTTCCACTCACTTGTGGAGAGGAAATGGATTCCTCAGAAGCTGTATCCATCCCACCCAGCACAGCCTGTCTGTGCCAAGGAAGGTTTCTCAGCCTGAGAGCCAGGATTCTTTTGAGTTAATGGGTAGTTACAGACAGTTAGGAAAAAGTTCAAAAGGTTTAAAAATATAAATCATAAATATAGACATAAAACTCTAAAATGAAACATAGGCATCTCCGAAATTGAAAGTAGGGCAATTAAGCATTACAGAATACTGGATCTTGAAGTCATGTCCTTATTCTGACATCTCAGCAGACTACAGCTGAACACAGGAAAAGAATATTCTCATGGTTAGAAAACAACAGTTTAGGCAGTAGATGAAACTGCCAAAACTAAATGAAGAAGCAACTTTATACTTAACTATCTACATATATACAGTGAAACACTTCATTGTTTTCAAAATATTGTTGGTCAAAGTAATTTTAAGGCAACAAATCTGAATTGACATAATGTTTCCCAGAATTCAGGAATAGGTGGATTTGTGGCATTTTGTCTGATTTTCCAATTAATGACAGGCCATTGTGAAAGTTGGAGGTGATCTACATATGAATCTGACCATTCTCAACCTCTTGACTCTGTTTATTTGAACCTACATCTTGTTTTCTTACCTCTTTACACTGACAGACTGAAAAAAATAAGCATGACCATGATAAATATATTTTCATCTTATGCTTGATTATTATTGGCAAAATAACCAATTGAATAATTAGTATGATAAGGATTTAAAAAGAAAAGTCATTGCTCTTAGGAGGAATCCTGAGAAGCTAAAAAGATTCCACTGTGGGAGCTAGCTAACATCAATTCAAATGCTACAACATTCACATTCCCATCTTGCTAAACTCCTCAAGTGATTAATCATACCCTTAAATGTCCCAGCAAACAAAAAGCTATAGATTTTCTAAACTTTAGAAATGCACATCCAGATTTCTGCATAGTCATAATCCTTCCTGTTCTCAACTAGATTAGTTTCACATTCATTAAAAGGTTGAAAAGTAACCAGGAGAATTACTGTTCTTTGAGGCACATTCACTTTTCATATTAATTCCATTTTCTGTACTCAGCATGAATTCAGCCAAGCTGTTATTTTGTGTATGGGGAAATGTTTATTGTTACCAGCAATTTTATTGGAGATTTTGCCAGAAGAGATTACTTTGGTAATAGATTTAAGGGGGTTTATCAAGAACAGTGACAGTACCATTTATCATCTTCATAGAGAAGTAGATAAAGGGGATTAATGACATTTAACTTCTTAAAACTTCAGTACATCTAAGATAGGCAGAAGATTCTGTCAGGACTCTGGAATTCTGCTTCCAGATTTCTCACTGACTCTTGTGTTACCTGGACTGTAACTTTCACTCCAGTTTCTCTGCATGTAAAATGGGAATAAAAATTACATTACTTACCTCACAGAGTTTTTATAAGGGGCTTCAATAGGTTATGATTCTCATGACCTTCATGCCTGGAGTGATTTAAGTATTTTTCCTTTTAATTTAGGGAAAATAATTATTTTTTAAGATCATGTCTATCATCAAGGCAATAAAAGTAGAGAAAACATATTTAGTAGCACAGTGTTGGTAGTGCCAGTGTAGACTAGAATTGTTAAACAAGTAGCATCACACAGATAGACTGTGGGCTGTCCAGACACTAACTCAGCAAGGAGGCTGAGTGCATTAGACACTTTGTTTGTTCTGACCAGTGAGATGTGCAAGCCACCATCTTATAAATGAAACCAGATTTGGCTGGGTAGTGTGCACACAATATGTCCTCTTAACCCTTCTTTGGTACAGGTCCTTCTTTGATTCTTGGAGAGATGCCAATGGATATAAACACCTGGGCCTACATCTACATCACACCTTGATTTGCATACCAGATGAAAGAATGAATGCCAGAGCTGATGCTTAGTAGACAACTGCACATAAAAAAACGAGCCTAGTCTGCTGGCAAAAATCATCTTTCTCTCTTTTGCAGCCTTTGTCACAAAAAGAGGTTTTCTGCTGTAATTATCAGAAAGATCTGCAGGACAGAGGAGCAGGAGAACCAAGACTGTGTTTCATTGGAGTGATTCAAAATATGGTTTAAACTTGGAGAGACTCAGTCTCCTAAGAAAATCCTTGTTTATATAAAATTCACTTCCATTCAATGAGACACCTCAACGAAAGTTCAAAGACTTCTTGGTCAGTCACTATGACATTAGAGAGCTCTCCTCTGTCGTCCCCTGTGGAGCCAGGAGCGGAAGCTGTAAGAAACGGGATGCAGAAATGTTACCAGAGTTCCAAGTGCTTTGCAGCAACCACTGGTGTCCTGCCAGGCATGGGAAGAACTCTTTCCCACCAAGGGCCTGTGACCCATGAGACAGCTCCAGACTGAGGGAGGATAGGGTTTGGACATCTCCTGGGAGGTTTGACCAACCTGTGGGATGATGTGGAAGTGGATTTTTATCACATATTCAGGGAATGGTCAACCTCTAATGCTGGGTTCAAGAAGCAACTCTCCCCCGGGCAGATTTGCATTCATCCCTGGGGGATTTTTGCCTTCCTCTGCAGTATCAAACCTGACCACTGGTCAGGGTCCTCCAGTCCCTTTTGGCCAGGTTGCTGCCTGCTGTTCATGCAGCATGAAGATAGCCTGTTTGCCCCGCATCCATTCTTCTTTTATCTTCTTCTTCTTTTATGTGATTGTTATTGAAACTAATTATTCATTCTCTCCAGTTCTCTCCAGGAAGCAGAGTTTGCTTGGCCTGTGTTCCTTCTGCTGCTTTTTGTAGCTCTGTTAGACAGGCAGACTGTAAAGGATGTTTTTTCAAACTAAACTGAGATGCATCACCCAGCTCCTGGCTACACATGGGCATTGTGTTAATACTTGAGAGCAAGGACTGTGAAATGGTTTCAGAAAAATAACAATAAGTAGACAAAAAAAAATATCCTGATTCCAGCTGTAGCCTTTATATTATGCATCCTTGAAAGCAGTTTTTGTGCTGAAAAGCCCATGGCATTTCAAGCAAATGAAATTGCTTTTCACCATCTAAGTCATGATGTACAGGGAATAGAAACAGAAATAAATAGAAGGAGAAATAGAAACAGAAAGAAATAGAAATAGAAATAGAAATAGAAATAGAAATAGAAATAGAAATAGAAATAGAAATAGAAATAGAAATAGAAATAGAAATAGAAATAGAAATAGAAATAGAAATAGAAATAGAAATAGAAAGTAATAATAACCAGGGTACATCAATACCCTTGCTGTCCTTTCTCATCACACTTAGAGATCCTTAGAGATCCTTGGAAAAATGTTTAGTTCAACCTCTTTGTGCTCAGAAAAAGGAGTCATTCCAAGTGGCAGCAGATGTGCCCATGGCCTCTGGGCTCCCTATGATGCTGTGATGAGCTGTTGAGTTGCCAGTAGACTCTGGTTTCACCAGTGGTCAAGTCCAGGCAGAAACACTGTCAAGGCTCTCTCCTATATGTGGCTGCCTCACTTCACAAAACTTTACCAGCTGTGTGACCTCCTGGGTAATTCTTCCTCTCTCACACTTAAAGCTGACAAAGGTACAGATTCAAAATACAGCAGTGAGGCAGACCAACCAACCTGCTGGCAAAGAGATGGATGGGATCATATATACACATGCCTTTATTTGTCACCCTCGCTCCTTTAAAAGTGATATCAAACAAAATATGGAAAGCTTGCCCTTTTAATTCAAGATGCTGAGTGCAATTTGCAAAAAAAACAGCGAGACAATAGCATTTACTCAATTAGAAAATTGTGTGCGTGCATGCGTGTGTGTGTGTGTGTGTGTGTGTGTGTGCGCGTTAACAGCAGACTGTTTCTTAACTACATGTTTATGGTTGCTTCCAGCAAAACCAAAACAAGATATAGAGAGAGCACAGAAAAACAACACAGTAATGGCTGTAAACAAAATATGATATCAGCACTGGCCTATATGCATAGAAAACATTGTACTATTATCTACACCCCAGCACATAGGGTAAATAACTGCACAGAAAGGGCTGATTTTCAAACCATACCAGAGCAAGAAGATGGCTGTATAAGCCACAGTAACAGGGCACAGGTAAGAAGTTACCTGTATTAAAATAGCCAAGTCAGAAAAACCTCTACTCTGTCCTAATCCAATTGGTGTCAAAACATACACTGTAGGTAGTAGGTCTCTACCAAAGAGATAAAACGCAGGCTAGTAATTTCTGGAAGTGCCAGACAGAAGGCACCTTCCTATAATTTAATGTGATATTCTCACAGTGAGTGTTGCTATTGAAAGCAAGGCATGACTGGCAACAAATCCACAGTGTCTTTTTACAAAAAAGGAAAACTATTAGGTTGATTATTCCCCTCTTTTGAAGGTGGATCCTCCCTACTGCTATTTTTCTAATCAAAACAGTTAATAGATCCCTGTGTAGGGAGATATGTTTAAAGGGGATTAAATGTTATTATTCCCAAACTAATGAAGAAACTGGGCACACAAAAACAATTTGAGCAAGGTTATTTAGCAAGTCACAGTGAAGGAAGGGACTGTACTTGGTAACCGTGAGAGACTAGAAAGACTGATGTCTCAAGACATTTTGTGGTACATGTATGTGGGGAAAGGGGCAGGTCAAGCCTTGCCCTGGCAAGGCAATGCACTAACCTGTACACCCTACCCCCTGGAGCCTGTATCCCAGCCTGGCAGAACTCTCTGGAGACAATGCTTCTCACCCACCTCTGAAGCCCCTAATCAAAGTCCTGAGTGGCCAAATGACCAGAAGTCCCACGTGGGGGAATGGGCCCAGGAAGACCAATGGCCAAACACAAGGCGATAACGTCTTCACCATACTACCTCTTGGAATTTATATCTAAGCACAACTGGAACTCAGAATTTGATAGCTATGTGTGTGCTTTTCTATACCTTTTTTATTTTGTCTATTTCTCT